GCAAAAAAATAAGAAATCAGGAAGGGGCCAACACTTTTTCACACCACTCTATATACACCTTGAAAAACTGCTATTCTAGGTTATTGTTACAAGTCACACAGGGTTTTCCATGATATTCTACTGCCAAAAAATGTCTGTGTTGCTATGCTGTTGCTAGGGTGTTCTGAATGGTTGCTTAGCGTTACTCTAATACCCAAAAATGGCCCAACTTAAAAGAGTCAATGTGAAATTTTTCATCATGCAAAAAAATCTGATAATTTTGCAAATAGCACATCTCCCTCTCAACAAAATCTATACTACAAGCTAAAGTACAAGTAGCAGTAATACTGTACATGCCGGCACCACTGATTATTAGACTTTTACACCAACAGTACAAGCTTTATAGAGAATCAACCTGGGATTAAGAGTACAATGTTGACTTTTCATGGTACTCATCTTTTAAGGTTCAAACCATCCACCTTTCGGCTACTAGCTCAGTTTTTAACTACTACACCACACCATCCATGCATCCATTTGTTAAACGCATTTGCATGTTAAATCTATTTCTAAACGTATCATTACCAAGCATAATCTTAAAGGGCTGTACTGTGAAAGCTTATTTATCTTCTTAGTCACAGATTATAGTGTGAAAACTCATATTTTTTTTAGAAAATAACAGATTTATGATGATGCTGGAATGCTTCTTTATGTGGAATCTCTCTTAGGTTATGAGGCTAGTGAGATAGCAAGAGTAAAACAGAAAGATTAGAAAAGGAATAGAACGGAAAATCTTTCAATCTTTCATTCAGTTGAATAACACAAATCTTTCTCAAAAAGATTCAGAGCATCTTTCCTAGATGTGGCTGAACTGTTTTAAGCTCCGACTCAACATTTCCTCTCAGATTCTGACACAGTGAGTTCATGCTAGTCTTCCCGGCAACAACAGAGAACTCACATGGATTTGACCGAGAGTCAAACGCACACACTGTGAGTCAGAGACTCCCAGAAGAGAGAGAGAGAGGGCGAAAACAAGAAAATAGAAAAACTAATAATACAGGGCAAAATGAGAGTTTGTCAACAGTCCAATATCCACCTAGAAACTGGATCTTGAGCAGCCCAGATCAGCCAAAAACAACAGAGCACGAGTCGTCCAAACAGCCTATAATTGCTTTTCTTTTCTTTTTTTATAAAGAGGGCGTGGCTTGTTCTTACCGGTCACCTGAGGTCGCCCGTTGCCGTGGAGATTTAAGGCAATCCCGAACCGCACGCATCATTTTAGCGACAAACAACAGCCCATCGTATAGAATCTTTCTGTTTTCTATCCTTTCTGCTCATCCTCTTCTGCTCTCTCCATTTCAGGCAGACTCATTACTTCTCACTTACTCTTTACCTTGCACGCTTTTCATGAAGGAGGAAGTGAGAAGTGCTAGAAGTGCTGTTGAGCGTCTATCTCACAGTGAGAGTGAGTGTGCTGGGAGCTGACAGGTGACTGTATCTGCTTTTGCGAAAAGTCTGTAAACCAGAGATGGAGGGAAAGACAGAGGTGGGGGCATCTTCCTCTTTCAGTGTTTGTGTAAATGAGAGCTCCACCTCTCCTCTGTGGGGTAGTGACTCCCATCACAAGGAGTGTTAACATCTCTGGAGAATTATTGCTTACAGGAAGTGATCTGAGGGCTCGTATGTGCCACCCACACGTGTTGCATTCAGTATCATTACTTTTCTCATCTGTCTTACCAATATTTAATTATGAATGATTAGTTCAACCAAAAATTATTTACTCACCCTCATGTCCTTCAAAACCTATGTGAGCTAATTCAGAGAACTACAAAACATGATTTTATTTTATTTTTAAATGCTACTATAGATGTAACATAAAAGTAGTGTATTTTACTCTTGTTCTATTTCCCAAGCTTTCTGGAGCCATACAATAAAGACTATGTGAGGAATAGACCAAAATTTGTTGCATGATTTGTGAACGATTCACTCTTACACATGAATCAACTGAATCAGGTCAGAGACGGATTGATCAGTAAATATTAATGATTTAAATTACAGCCAGTTCCTGCACAATCAGTGCCATATGGCTCTAGAAGACTTGAAACATTGCAGAATAGTTGTTGTTAACTAAAGCTTTTACTAAAAACTATATTTTTAAATTAATATAATAATTACAAATATTAATAAATACATTAATAAATAAATGACAGCCCCAGTCCTCATTCACTGAAATCATATTGAAAAATGCAGCTAGGATATTCTTCAAAAACTCACTTTTTGTTTTCCAAGAAATTCATATAGGTTTTAAAAAACATGAGGATGATACAATTTTGACACAATTTTATTTTTTGGGTTAACTATGGCTTTAAAATAAGTGGCTTTATTTTTCTGAATACTGTCTGTGGGTGAAAACAATCTAATTCAGCTTGAGATGACCTTGCACATTATGATGACAGAGCGAAGAACATAAAGTAATGAGATCCTCATTAAAGAAAGCATTCATCAGTTCAAGTGCATCTATCATGACCTGAGGACAGACTTGTGTACACGGACACACTGAGATTACAGTCAGACGCACACTTCTGTTTTTGTGGTTTCATAATCTCCTGTGCACCTGTGTGAGGGCATTGTGTGGAAACTACAAATACACACTATATTAAAAGAGATGGCCAGATGGTTAAAAAAAAAAAAAGAGAGAAATGGAGAGTACTGTATGCTAAATATATTATGAATAATAAAGACTTATAGACAGATAGAACAACAATGCAGAGGTTACCCATAATTACTTCCTTCATGTATAAATATCCATGGGTCTACAAGACATACATTAAGTTCAGGACTGAAATTTTACACCAGCTGTCTTGTGGATATGTGGGGTGAGGAAAGTATTATCAGTAACTCACTTCTGTAGGTCCACGATTTCATTAGTGAGTGAGTCCAACTCTTTAATTGCGGAGAAATCGGCAGCTTGTACTGTGACAGCATTGTTCTGTTAGAAGAAAAAAGGAATGAAATATCATTAAAAGAAGGTAGAAATCATGCATGAAAAACATGAATCTAACATGCACTACCATTCAAAAGTTTAAGGTCAGAAGATTTTTTTAAAGAACTTAAAATGATACTAGTATTCATCAAGAAGGATGCATTAAATTGATTAAAAGTGATAGTAAAGACCCTTATAATTAGGGCTGCACGATAAATCGCATGCGATATTTAACGCGCATCTAGTCAGTAAAGCCATTCTGTAATCAGCGGTAAATCTCCATCATGTGCGGGCTTTCACATGGAGCAGCATTAACTACACAGAGCCGTTGTTCAC